ACATTTCCTCCATCTCGCCTTCCACCATATCCCTGCAATGGGTCCTGCCAACTATAAACTTACCCACTAAAACCATGAGCCCAAATTACAACTCTTGAGTAAATTCAAAATTTACTCAAATTTCAGAATATGAAAACTCATGATATATTTCCTTCCTTAACATTCTCAATAGCATATCATAGATGTTTGCAATCATGTGTTTATATTAATAAAGGACAATACAAATATCTGGTTATATTATTGTATTAACTTTACTTTTTCTGGGGCAAATTGCCTAACAGACACAATTCAGGGGGGCAGAGATGTAATTTGGGCTCATGGTTTTAGGGGTTGGGTCCGTGGTTGACAGGCTCCATTGCAGAGATATTATGGTGGAAGGCAAGATGGAGGAAAGATGTTCACTTCATTTTGGGTAGAAGCAGAGCATCAGTGTAAGAGTACTACAGGGGCACAACTAGAAACTGTAGGTAATCCCCAAGTCACATCAGTATGACCCACTCAAACATACCCAGAAACATGCTTTAATCATCTGATAGGCCTCTCTTAATACAGTCAGTCTGACAATCACTATGAATGGTAGAAATTTCCTTTCTTTTTCTGCATGAAAATATCAAAAAATGAATTAGAATACAAAATTATCTGGAAGCAAGCTAACCAGAAATCAGTACATTGTTTTCCCCAGGAAGATATAGCAAGGTAGACTAGTTCAGGCTGATAGGAATCATGACCCCATAAAAAGGAGTGTCCTCTTGAAACACTATGATCAATTTTATTTGTTCTAATTATAATTAAAATAATCAATTCACAAGAGTGGCAGGTTTTTTACATATTTTACTTTCTAGTCTCAACCACTACTTATTAAGTACTTTATTGTGTAGGGTCATGGAAAGACTCAAGTTAAAATATGCTCAAAGTTGCTTTGCATTAAACTATGCTGGCATTTTAAATCTATAATTTGGTACTGAAATTTCATTAATTTAAGTGATAATTAAGAAAATTTCAACAGTAGTTTCCTTAAAGACAACCAAGAAAATAAACTCAAACTTTTACTTTATCTCTTATTTTTGTTTCATGACAAAATAATTATGCAATCATTAATTAATCACTTTTATTCAACAATGAGAATATTTTAATTCTGGAATTATAACAGTTACCTAATGACCAAGTGAGCTTATCACAGACAGGACAAATAGAGAAGAGACAATAAAAAGTATTGTGCATCTCTGGAAAATACATGACAAGATAGATTAATATTCAAATTTGTAAATTATTGGATAGGTGTACATTTCAAAGAGAAAAATTTAAGCTGGGTTGAGTGGTGCACAACTGTAATCCCAGTATGTGGGAGGCTAAAGCAGGACTGTGGTGGGTTTAAGACCAGCCTGGACTACATAGTGAAACTCAATTTCAAACAAGGGAAACCTTACTAGAATAAATTTTGCATTGGTTTCTGCAAGGGTGGTGTATTGTCTTTCTTGGTATTTTCTTGCTAAAGATTACTCACATGTCCTAATAATTTATTTTCAGATGCATTTTGAATACTGCACTGCAATTGGCTAAAAGAAAATGTAACTATGTAAATTAAATGTCATAATTGATAATGAATGTTGTAGAAAAATAAAATACAACTGTATATATAAAAACAATGGCCACTTTTTGCCTACTAAAAAGAGAGAGAGGCTTCATTTAAATTCTGTTTTATGCCTTTTAGAAACAAAATAATATGGAAACTCTTCCTGTAACATTTAATTAATCATCTACTTACTATTTTGTGGCAATTAATGAAATTTTAAGAGATAATTTTGACATTTCTGCTCAGATAAAAAATTTACAGATTAATCTTGCAAAAGTAGGATAGATGGAAGGCAGAAGACAGAGGGTAGGTAGGTAAATAAGTAGATAGATGGATTAATAGATATATTGTGGTAAATTTTTCTTCATCTACTGCTCTAATGCCTTTGCCCCGATGTACTTTCCTACTATCATATTTGTCTTACAGTAAGTCCTTAACAATTTTGTTAATTAGCATAGATGTTTTGTGCTTTATAGCTTTTTTCTATTTCCCACAATTATCTGAACTAGTAATGCAGAAGAAGAATCTTTAAGCTTCTTTATATGCTGGCATTATACATAATTTTAGTGAATTCCCAGAAGTAGTTAAGCAATAATATAATTTCATAAGAAAAAATAAATCTTTTAGACTCTACTGTTAAGCTTTATAGACAAGATTTTTAGGACACTGATCCATTTAATGTAAAGCATGATAACTGAAACAAAAGCTCTGATCTTTTTTATCTTCAGGTGATGATATTGATAGACTTTTTATATTTTAGTTTTCTCCTCCAGAAAATTGGCTACAAGGCACAGAAAAAGAGTTGAGGGTGAGAAAATGATGCAAATGAACTGATAATGTCAGTGGATTTATAATGATAAAAAGAACTCAAGAATTAGATCCCTGTTTGCAAATGTTTTTAATAAATATGCAGTGACTAACACTGTCATAAGCATCAGAGGTGACTGCTGGAAAAGAAGTCACAGGGTGTCACATGATCAGAATTCAATTTATTGCAGGTGTAGAGCCATGGAATCTAGGTAATTACTGTCTACACTAAATTCATTT